AGCAAAGATTATTTGAAAACAAATCCAATTTGGAAAACAAGGTTAACTCTATTATCCTTTGCGAAAATTCGATACAAACTAAAAATCAACCTACGCGTCATCACATCTACATGTGGATTAGATTATTGGTTCCCTAAAGTGATGTTTTAACTTATAAAAAAACGTAATATTAAAATGAACTTAAGATTTAAAAATTAGGGCTTTTTATGATAACCATACAATACATAGCTGGCCTATAACCCAAACTCAAGCTGCTCGATTCTCGACTTTGGCTTTTTTGACTATAACGCAGCCATGGTATATTATATTATATATATAAATCGCTCCAATGACATATAATACTGATGTCAAAAGCTACAATGCTTTAGATATAATCAACAATATGCACATTTCCTGAAAGATTTTTGTATGCCACATACTTGGGCCGACATATTGATGATGAGATGAGACCAGGCATTCGGATCCAGACTTGAGAAGGTACTGGTTGCGACTGACGTCTTTCCTGTGCCCACGGGGCCCACAAGGAGAACTGGGTTGAAACGTTGCACAAGAATGTCCACAAGGAAATTGTATCGTACAGTGTCAACTGTGGGAACCATGATTTTGTAAAACGGCAGACTGCATTAAGAGAGATAGAAAAGTTGTTAGCAGTCGTTGCATATCGAACAGCAAATCTAGCACATCGTAACACAGCCATATGTCCAAGTTGGTCAGAGAGACTATGCGAATTTCAAGGAGGTCCAGACCTGTCACAATTCACACTTAACATGACCTGTTGCCTCTAAGTTTGAAAGAAGGAAAACCTAAGGTTGGAAAAAAGTTCAGGAATAGGACTGAACGACCTAAAAATGATGGCTGATTTTGATTATACCTTCTCTCTCAACTGATTGGGAATCAAGAATCCCAGGAAGAACAAAGATTAGCATTAAATCCTAAAGATAGGCAACAGGGCATATTGAGCCTCTCCTAGTTCATGGACCCATCAGTAGCTAGGCTCCACCAGTAGGACAGATTAAGCTCCATTACCTTGCACATAGTTATTATCATTAACCTTTCCATCTGTGGGTAGAAATGAATTTATTCCAAGTGATTAAAGTATTTTACCAATACCACTATCAACAGTAACAAATCACTCGAAGATTAAATGATCTACTAAACCCCTTAAAAGAATTTTTAAAAATTGGTTA